TCCAATCGAAGTCAAATTAGTACAATCAAAATCAAATTAGTACAATCGAAATCAACTTAGTTCAATCAAAGTCAAATTAGTCCAATCGAACTCGAATTAGTCCAATCGAAGACAAATTAGTATAATCGAACTCGAATTAGTCCAATCACGGTCAATTATAGTGTAATCGAACTCGAATTAGTCCAATCGAAGTCAAATTACTATAATCGAAGTCAAATTAGTATAATCGAAATCAAATTAGTCCAATCGAAGACAAATTAGTCTAATCAAACTCGAATTAGTCCAATGGAAATCAAATTAGTACAATCGAAGTCAAATTAGTCCAATCGAAGTCAAATTAGTCCAATCGAAGTCAAATTAGTACAATCGTAATGAAATTAGTCCAATCGAAGTCAAATTAGTCCAATCAAAGTCAAATTAGTATAATCGAACTCGAATTAGTCCAATCACGGTCAATTATAGTGTAAACGAACTAGAATTAGTCCAATCGAAGTCAAATAACTATAATCGAAGTCAAATTAGTATAATCGAAATCAAATTAATCCAATCGAAGTCAAATTAGTCCAATCAAACTCGAGTTAGTCCAATCGAAATCAAATTAGTACAATCGAAGTCAAATTAGTCAAATCGAAATCAAATTAGTACAATCGAAGTCATTATAGTCCAATCGAAGTCAAATTAGTCCAATCGAAGTCAAATTACTACAATCGAAGTCAAATTAGTACAATCGAAATCAAATTAGTCCAATCGAAGTCATTAGTACAATCGAAGTCAAATTAGTACAATCGAAGTCAAATTAGTACAATCGAAATCAAATTAGTACAATCGAAGTCAAATTAGTACAATCGAAATCAAATTAGTACAATCGAAGTCAAATTAGTACAATCGAAGTCAAATTAGTACAATCGAAGTCAAATTAGTACAATCGAAATAAAATTAGTACAATCGAAGTCAAATTAGTCCAATTGAAGTCAAATTAGTACAATCGAAGTCAAATTAGTACAATCAAAGTCAATTTAGTATAATCAAAATCAAATTAGTCCAATCAAACTCGAATTAGTCCAATCGAAATCAAATTAGTACAATCGAAGTCAAATTAGTCCAATCGAACTCAAATTAGTACAATCAAAGTCATTCTAGTGCAATCGAAGTCAAATTAGTACAATCGAAGTCGAATTAGTACAATCGAAGTCAAATTGCTATAATCGAAGTCAATTAGTACAATCGGAGTCAATTATACTAAAATCGAAGTTATAATCGAAATCGAATTAGTCCAATCGAAGTCATTAGTACAATCGAAGTCAATTTACTATAATCAAAGTCAAATTAGTACAACCGAAGTCAATTATGGTG